GGTCCCCGGTCTGGGCGGATACCCTCGAGTATTCGCCACTGCCAGGATCGCCCGGGAGAGGCAGACAACGCTCTGCACACCCTCTTCCGGTGCGAGGCGTGGGCCCAGGAACGGGACTCGCTGGAGTCCCGTCTGGGGTCCACGATCCGCGTCGGGTCCTTGGTGGACCTCATGTTGGGAAGCCGGGAGGCGTGGAGGCTCGTCCAGGCGTTCGCGGAATCCGTCCTGAAAAGGAAGGAGGAAGCCGAACGCCTGAGGCAGCGGCAGCCGCGCCGCCCGGTACAGGAGGACCTAAGGCGCTGGTTTAGGCCGGTGCCTTAGGTATAAGTGTGCTTATATGTTTGTGAATTATTTTATGCCCCCTTCGCAAAGTCCTGCCCCCACCTCCACGTGGTGCAACCCGGGCAACGGATCCCGACTTTTGGGATCCGGCTAACGGGGGAGGCCACACCACGTTGTGAATCAGCTCTTGATTAATTTCGGGCTGATTCACAACGTGGTGGTGTGAGTTTTAGAGACGGCGTGGGCCGCCCTGAGGCAATACCTAACGGTAGTTCCGGGGCGGTCCGCATGTAGGCCGGTCGTGTTAAAAAAAAAAAGGGAAGGTGCAACTACCTACTGCATAAATGGGGCATGGTCGATTCACCACTGTGCGAGTGTGGGGAGATCCAGAAAATCAACCACATCGTGGAGTCATGCACGCTCACAAAATTCAAAGACGGGATGGTAAAATTGCATGAGTGTGGCCCAGATGCAGCGAACTGGCTCGAGAANTAGTAATATATTCATTAAGAAATACATTATTTAGCCTAATAAAATTCCAAAATCTGTTAATTTCGATTTGTATATTTAAAAACTAATTGTTGAAACTGTTAGGTAAAATATAAACTAGCTATGTTAATCTAAACTTAATTTACCCTAATATATATATATACAACGAATCAACGTAAAATCATTCTATAACAAACAAATTAATTTAAAATTACGCTTGAATAAACGTAAAATAAACAATTTACTTATATAGTAATATACACCAACAATTATCTAGTGAAAACATGTTGTTTCATTGTATAATTTACAAATAAATATAAAGGAAAATTTGCTTTAAAATATACCATGGATTAAACATATAATTCAATATTTACAACTGTCGCATTAATTGCATTATACATCATCTATTAATAAGCGGAACGATAATTATTTACTAAATAATACGAAAAAATATATAAACCACAGCTTCAAAATACATCGTAAATTTAGGTTATACGTATAACGTATATACAAACGTATATTCAACTCTACTATGAATAAAAGAATATATTTGAAGTATAGATTTTCTTCTTGGTGAAAATTTTGAATACGGTAGCCGTATTCCCATATAAATTCGTAAGTAGCCGTAATAATACGACGGTTGTAAAGTATTTACTCTCGAGTACAGGTATTAAATAATTCTTTTATTTATATAACGTAAAAACACAAAGTCAAAATATAATATAAAAATATCACACAAAATTAATTAAGTTGTATAGTGAAAAATGTTATTCGCACACCAAAGACCTAACTCATAATTTGACGTTCCTTCGACAAAACGTCCAGTCTCCCTCCATTCTTTTTCATGTTTCCCTTTTATATTCTTTTTCCTACCATTATTAATTTGCTTACCCTGCATTTCCCTTATATATGACATTATAATATTGCTTGAGAATTTAAAAATTGCTTACTACTGTCTTAAACCCTTATGGAATATGGGAGATGGAGGTTGAAGGTATTTTATAATTGAACAATATCAAAATAAATAAAAGAAATCAATAAAAGAATTATTATTGTTTTTCGGGTAATTAGGTGGTCTTAATGAACGAATCACTCTGTATAACAAGTTTATTAAATTGTTACAAAAATAAATATAAAAGTATTACATTTGTGAGGACATTTTTCCCTGTGGATAGTGGATAAGAATACTTCCACGGCCCTTCTGCCAGTCGTAAGAGGCGACTAATGAGGTTGCGTCAGGACTATGAATACACATAATGTATAAAATCTTTGCTGTCTCTGCTTGTGTAGATTTGTTTTAATAAGATTATTTTCAATTTTATAGGCTAGTTAAATATGTATGTTTCCATTAACAAAAAATAAAGTTTAAGGCCATCTAAGTTATAAGAGATGATTTTTAAAAGTAATTATTAGCTGATAAATCAAGAAATTAAATATTTGTTTACAATATTGTATTTATTTTGCGAGTAATCGAATGGTTCATGATAAAGCGATCACTCTGAATACACATAATAATAATAATAATAAAATAACTTTGAGTTTCAAATATGGACAATAAGTAAATCTTCACAAATCTATCCAAACAATTTCTTTCCTTTTATGATAAGTAAATGCAAATTAAAAAAAAAACCCAGCACAGGGGGGTCGCGGCACAGTGGTGACGTGGTATAGATGGATCAAGTATAATGATATCTGACAGTGATTAAAATCACTATCAAAAAAAAACGCTTCGATGCAAATCTTTAGATACTGTTTAATTTTAAAAAATTGGTGGACTATTCC